CCATTATTAAAACACAGGGTTTTTTCATCTTGCCAGTCAGGTGTCCAGGTAACACAAAACAAATCCTTTATTTAACACCACACCATGCCATCACTGTCACGGAGAACAGAAACTGAATGCGAACCAACAGTACCTGTGGAAACTAGTATTCTCTTAGTAAATTGTACAAGCTGCGCTCATAATAGAAAAAATGCCCACGTGTAGGCGTTACCGGACTACCCTCTTCATCTATGCAGCAGCAGTCATCTAATGATGCTACTTTCCTTTCAACCATGCAAGCACTTATGTCTGGTTTATATTTATCCACTTCTAGATCTTCGTTACTATCTACTTCATGGAAAGTAGATTTCGGTTGACATGTCTTGGAATAAGATAAACCGGCACATTTGTCTGTACTGCCTGCAGTTTCTAGCAACGTGTCCAACTCCGACTCCTATAACAATTATTATTGGATTAGACTATGCTAAAAATGCACAATTTCTTTCCAATACCTACGGTACTTGATAACACAAATAACAAGTTACAGGCACAAGTTTGCTTACCATTTGAGATAGGAATGTAGCTCTCACACTAGGGTTTACTGGTTTTTAGGTTGCATTTGGTATGGGTTTTAAAACTGAACATTTCTCCACTGCTTCGAAAATTTTAGCCATAGCAGTTAAAAAAGGTTCTCGGCTGACTTTCCCAAAGTAAAAGTGCCTACTCACGCCCACATCTATCTGTAAACTGTTCTCGTAGCAAAATGTCATAACTTGTCTGCATCTGGTAATTCTATCCATCTAGTCAAAACATCTTTCAGAATTGCCGCAAATTAATGCCCACTTTCTCCAGCGTCTTGCAGATGTCGATACCCATCATGGTCAACTGGAAATGCTTTAATAGAGAAGTTTAAGTATTCTGTAATCATTTGCTTCGGCTGTAGATAAACTAAAATAAATTTAAAGAGATTTTCCTGTTAATAAAGAACTTACATTTACCTGTACTGCCAAATCACGTGGCATACCTTTCATATCATTTTAAATAAGAATCCAGATCATTCTTACCTTCATTAAATGCTGGTAATTTCAGTCTGCTTGCCTTAATTTTGGATGATCCAGTTTAGGGACAGGTAATATTCTGCCCGACTTAGGTTTGTTCTTTACATCAGTGTTCTTGTATAGTATTTTTTCCTGGATGAGTAATCTCAAAAAAATGTCACACAGCCTCTCAGAAGCTATCTAACAAAGGTCCGAACATACTCCAGAGACACAAAAGTTCACAACAGAAATAATTACTAAAAATGTTTACTGATGTATTTCTGAGAAAGTGCACCCACCAGCCTAATGTTGGGGAATCAAGTGGGGCCGATGAAGATAACACTATCCTAGGGTGTCCCTTTTTTGCGATCAATGTTTTTCTTTTTTTCTTTTCTTTTTTTTTTTTTGCTTTTTAAAAGGAAGGGGACAGTAAATCTGCATTAACATATGTTTTCAATCTCATTAACAAAGCCATAGCA